TTCTTAGACAATTCTGTTAAGTTGATTGAAGAATAAAATTATATCTAACGCAGGCGACTATGAAGTATTGTGATGCAGATGATTAACATTGTCCTTCCGAATAAAAATGTAAAATAAAATAGTCGGTTAATTTTTCTCTACAGTCACTAAAAATATACTACGTAAAAAGAGTAGTTCATAAGATCAGCTAATGCACAAGAAAAAAAAACAACTACGCAAAAACAATTGATGCTTGGTTAAACCACAATGTTCGTCTTTCCTGTCTAGGAAATATGTATATATATATATATACTATCTAACATTATATTTTTGCGTTTTCAAGATTGCAAGAAAGGTAGGTAAACCTACAAATTATAACATTCTTTAAAAAATTAGATAGAATAATAGTGGCAGTATCATCATTAAGGGATCTCACTGAAAATAAGGGGAATGCCTGAAAAAAAAACAGAGAAATATTCTAAAATTTAATATCGGTCATGAGGGTTTGGGAAGGCGGGCCCCATAGGATCTGCTTCTGAATGCTGAAAATCGTTGAATCAATCTACTTTAATTCTAAAGTATAATGATCCGTCTTGTTTATAAATTGCTTTAAATTTTTAATCTTTTTATAAAAATCCTTTTTTTTTTAGATTATACGAGTACTGAAGTAAAAGGAAAATATTGAAAATCTATTTCTAACAAACACCGAGATTATCTCTCAATTCAACAACTGATAATATTCCGAATCATATGCCATACGTCAGCACACAATTCAAGGAGTATCAATATGTTAAAAATTCACAGCTTAATGAAATTCGTTTAATTTAATTTTATTACTGAATGTAGAAAATTATATTTGGTTTAAAAAAAAAAAATTCCAGATATATCGTTCAAATTTGCAAAAATGTTACCCTAAAGCTTTCCATTGTACAATTTTCATTTATTATCATTTCTTGTTTTTTTTCAAATTTAGGAATTTAATTTGATTTCCCTTGAAACTCAAAACGTACAACATGAAGGCAACAATCTTGTTAGCAGTTGTAGTGGCAGTCTTTGTCGCAGGTAAATGTGTTTCTCTATATATTACTGGTGTGTGTAGTTTAAATATATTATTCAATAGAAATTGTCAGTAATCACTGATCTTTTTCCTTAAAATATATTAAAGATACGTATTTTTTTTTTATAGAATATTCTCTCTAATCTTTCTTTATACTTTCCCGAAATTGTTGATAATCATTTTTAAATCAACATGTGGTTTACTTGATCTCAGTTCTTCATTATTAAAAACTTGTTCATGAAGTCTCATTTTCTTTCCTTCCTCTGATTTTGCTATTGCGATATTACGATTACTTTATCAGTTAAATTTTAAATAGTTAAAAACATGTCTTGATCAGAGAATTTTGTATCACACTCGATGCAGTGAAATAGTTTAGTTTTAAATTGAACATTTCCGTGTATTGTTTATTCATTTCAACGAAGTGTACAGATACACCGTGATTTTTTGTCAAACAATTTACAATGTTTTCCTGTTACTTTTATTCATTTTAGTCTACCGAAACTCCGTTATGTGTTGTATATTTTAATGAGGTCCATAGAAACGCCTTAGTTTATTGTCAAAAAATTACCATGTTTTAACTTCATAAAAATGATTCAAAATTAACCGGTCTTATTTACATTTTTTTTTATATCTTGAAGGTACGGAAGCTCATTCGCATGCTTGCTCATCGTACTACTGTGGCAAGTTCTGTGGGACTGCTGGTTGCACACATTATTTATGCCGAGTACTCCATCCCGGGAAACTTTGCGTCTGTGTTCATTGCAGCAGGGTGAAAAATCCTTTCAGAGCTACTCAAGATGCTAAAAGTATTAACGAATTGGATTACACTCCACTGTAAGTATTTTAATTTCCAATTTTGTTGCATCATATTGAATGTTATAAATTTACAAAATGAAATTCATCAATAGACCAACATATGTTATATATCAAAAATATAAGCATGATTATTATATACATACCAACATTTAAGCTGAAAACATTAATTTCTATGTTGAGTGTACGATTGATTAAATACAATATGCCATTATATACACATTTCTAAATTTAAAATGGCAGAAACAAAACGAACGTTTGAAAAACTCTAGCAAGACTCGGAAGGTCTGTGTAGTTTGCTACGGAGAATAAGTGAGAATGGGGATATGTTGTCTTCCGTCGTGCCAACATCATTTGTCGTAAACAATAACGTTTTATTTATCAAACAAAGAGTGGTTGGTCAATTGAACGAGCATATTTAGAAATAAATATAATAGTATTTGAAAAGATTTAATTCAATTGTGAATATATTTTTATGTTGACTTTATCAGAAAATCCTTTACTTTTTCAGAATGAAGTCGATGGAAAATTTGGACAACGGAATGGATATGTTATAAGCAAACTTATGACATGCAGATCACAACCATGTACCTTTGCTATCATTCTTACCGCTTCCCCCCTTGCCACATTTTGTTCGAAATCGGTCAACAAAAAATTCCTCATCAACTTGAAAACTAACAAACGTTGTGTCATACACGTTCAGCTTTCCAGTCCAGAAGTAATATTATTATATAAAAGAAATAAACAAATTAGTATCTACGTGTGCCAAGATTTATCGGTGGTTATAGAAATAAAAATAACTGTTAACAAGAAATATGTGCATTTCTACGGACGTATCAAAAATAAGGGGTTTTCCTGCAACTATTTTATCTTTCTTTTCTTAGTTGTAGTCTTCATGTTCTAATAAAAAAAGCTTGAAAAACAAACTAGCGTTGTGATTTTAATCTTTTAATAACAGTATTACAGGGTAGGGAAATAAACCAACCTTCATAGAAATCCTCATTTAAAACAGACTTTTGATATTCTCAGATTTGAATACACTCAAAGGACAATAAAATATGACCAGAAAAAAAAGAATGGGATTCACGACAAAAAAACACATCTACAAGGAAACATTATACAATATAACAAAAGCAAAACCTGAGGGATCGCTTGGACCCCAAAAGGTGCGTTGACAGGGTAAATGATAGACGGAAGAAACAAAAAGGGTTGGGCAAATTGCAAACTCATAAGTCTTGAACAAACTAACAATGTCATGGCAAAATCGAAACACGACCAAAAGAAAAAAAACAATGGTCTACGAAACACACTTGTGTCACCCGTCGTGTTGCTCATGTAAGTACAGACCCAGTGATAAATCTTATTCGGTATGTCACATTCAAAGATTAGAAAATTGGGATTGTGGTAATAGTTATCAATGGTACCAGGCTTATAATTTGATACGCCAGACGCGCGTTTCGTCTGCATAAGACTCATCAGTGACGCTCAGATCAAAATTGTTAAAAAGTTGAACAAGTATAAAGTTGAAGAGCATTGAAGACCAAAAATTCCAAAAAAGTTGTGCCAAATACGGCTAAGGTAAGCTATGCCTGGGATAAAAAAATCCTTAGTCTTTCGAATAATTCATAATTTTGCAAACATTATATTTATAAAAATGACCATATAATTGATATTCATGTCAACACCGAAGTGCTGACTACTGGGCTTGTGATACCCTCGGGGACGAAACGTTCACCAGCAGTGGCATCGACCCAGTGGTGTAAATAGTTATCAAAGGTACCAGGCTTATAATTTGATACGCTAGTCGCGCGTTTCGTCTGATTAAGACTCATCAGTGACGCTCAAATCAAAATTTTTAAAAAGCCAAACAAGTATAAAGTTGAAGAGCATTGAAGACCAAAAATTCATAACAGTTGTGGTAACATATTCGTCGTCATCTGTGAAACAGATATTCCATAACGCTCAACAAACTCGAGATAGCATCCGTTATATTGTCGAAGGGATTACTTCAACTTCACTATTTGAAACTCTTGTTTTAAAGGCCTCCTGCTATGCATGCATCACCCGCCATCCAAATCCACAGTAAGTCAAAATGTCGCAATCAGCAATAAATCGACAAATTTACAGATTAGGCGAATTTTCGGGTACCTTAAACATTTATAGTAAAAATGTCAGTTGTTAGCTGAAACAAATACAACTCTTATCGGTCAACCAATTCTTGGTAGTAACCGTCAAGCTTATATTGCGTTGATTTCAGTTATTCTCCATCATACCTCTACAAGGGCAGTTTTTGTGACAGGATTCCTGCCCTGTTTGTAAAGTCCGTATAAAGTGAACTTTTACAGGCTAAACGAATCAATTGACTAATAAGTATTATTGAACCTTTTTCTTTGTTTGTCTTTTCGTCGTCTTTTGTTTTTGTTTTTTGTTTTTTGTTTTTTTGCCATGGCGTTGTCAGTTTTCTTTCGACTTAAGCGTTTTGAATGTCCCATATGCATAGTATCTCTCTATTACATTTGGTTTATGTGATTTCAGTTCTTCCTTTTCTTTAACAAATGTGTGATCATTTTTAAAACGGGAGCAATAAAAAATATATTTCGACAAAAACTGACAATACCATGGTCAACAAGAAAAGTAAAGAAAAGACAAATAAGAGTCCATTAAATGCTACACAGAACGCTAATATTTTTATGAAAAAGAAGCTTTTAAATATCATATGAAATGGGAGACATACCATTCAAATGCAGCTCGAATGTTGCTGCAACAAAATGGAAATTGAACTTTAGGATTCCTCAATTGTTTCATCAGCGAGTAAGAATTATCTAAGAAGTTGTACATACCATGAGCAACACAAGAGGAGTCACATGTACATTTGAAGAATCACATTTCCGGAGCACCTCAGATCAACCAGGTTTTTGGTGGGGTTAATGTTACTCAGTTTTTAGTTTAATGTGTATTATTTTGTAACAGTAGCATGTTGTTTGTCTTTTTGTCGTTTTGTTTTGTTGTTTTCCATAGTGTTGTTGGTTCCTCTTCTTGCGAATTTTGATTGACCATTTAGTATCTTTTCTCCCTATCTACGACTATTGAAGTCATCAATTTTGTCGTAACGTTAACAAATACACTCCAGCTTCAATTTTCGAAAAGTAAGTGTTTCTCAAATTTATTACAATTTACATACTGGAGTTAATTTTGTTTGGCAATTTGCCGCAGACAATAAATCAGTGCTTGCACGGGAGTTCCTAATTAGCATTATACATTTAGTAGAACTACTGAGATGGACATTATGAGTCAACTCAGAACTTATTCTTGCTTTTGTAGTTGACCACATCCAATAATGTCTAACACCATGGCCAAAAGATATGTGTAGGACACCATCTGTCCAAAAATTCAATGCTGTAATTGAAAAAAGAAAATATAGAAGAATAAACATTACATGACTTAGATAAGAGAATTATCTTCATGCTAAAATTTGACAAAGTCTTCAATTTCCAAATAAAAAGTATTGCATGTTCATCCCTTATTAAACAAACAAAACGGATGCCATGAATTACCAAAATTATTAAACAGCACAACATCTCACACTTGCTACCAACATCTAACTCTTTGAACATTCCTAGATTTACATATTGTCAGATGAGTTTAGACGAATTTAATGCTACATCAATGGTGAAAGACAACCCTCATGTCAATTTGCAAGACTTATTTTTCTTCGCAGAATGTACTTACTGAAATATATCATTTATACGTATTATGTAAATCCTTTCAAGAATAACCTGGATAATTTATCTGACATATTCATATACAGCATAAAAATGTAAAATACACAAGTGTTTGATGAAGTGAAACAAATAGTTGTTTCTATAAATTAATTACTAGACCACACCCGCGAAATCGCGGGCATTTAGAGCGTGGTTGAAAGTATGAAAACTGTTGTAGGATGAATTTTTGTAAAAAAAATTTATGACTGGAGAATTTCAGGAAAGGTATAAAAAGTATCTTAAACATGAACTGATGTCAATATAACATTTTGAATTTTTCACCAGTTCAAAATATTGGATGTAAATCTAAAGAATGTGAACGCAAAGGTCAACTATTTGAAGTAACATGAACGCACAATTTTTAGGAGGCGAGTTGCTTTGTTACCATACTTTTTGTTTCGTTGTGCAGAAGACAGAGTAATCGATATGTTAACCTTTTTAATTTCAGTCACTCGAAACAGATTCCACTGATGAAATCAAATTAGTATGTGATATTTGCAAATAAGATTTGAATTATGAATAGAGCCATAATAAAATACTCAATAAACAATGCGATTTGTGGACAAAACTGTCATATTTTACTGAAATCTGGAAATGGCGTCAGACTTAATAAGGTGTTGACTTTTAGGAAAGCAAATTAATTCTAATATGGGGTGCTTATTACGTCAATAGAATAGAGCCATAATAAAATACTCAATAAACCACAACCAATATAAATCGACGACGCCACAATGCGATTTGTGCACAAAAACGTCATATTTTACTGAAATGGCGTCAGACTTTTCAGTGGGTTCTTTACTATATCCATAGATTTGTTTTCATTTTCACATGGCCTGGGTCGTTATATTCATTAATGTTATCCCTTTCTTACGCTTGATATAAAATTCGAATATAACGACCCAGGCCATGTGAACATTTTCAACAAATCTTTAGCTTGCATGAATTATTTCGTAAATAAACATGTTTATATACCGGTTCCAGGGGTCCCAAGAAAACGGATTTTTATCGCTTCCAGGGACCGAAGGAATGTTTGATACCGTTTCCTGTAGCTCAGGTACCCAAAACATTGTATTGTTATCAAGTTAGGAATTAAGGGTTGTTTGTAGATTTACCAAAATTCTGTGTAATTTTAAACAGTCCTAAACGGATGTTTTGTCTATGACTTAAAAGTCCGTCCGATGACGGAAACAATATCCGGACGCCTTTATTTATGTTTTCCTCCCAAAATAACCCAAACGGAATAATCATAAGCGAGCATGACAAATGCGACTATGCATGGTACCTATAGGACACAGAGGCATGATTATTAATTTATTTAGGAAGGAAGAGAAGCAACACACAAAATGAGGTCTTCTCATTTAATAGTATAAAGTGGATAATAGATACTTACTTTGTGAATATGATACTTTTGAAAGAATATGTGAGAACACATGTTGCAGATCGCTTAACGAACTGAAGTCTGCAAGTCCAGTACATTTACTCTTGCAGTAACTCTGAAAAAATGAATAAATTTATGTCAAAAGATGCACGTTATTATGTTTTGTTTTGTGTCTCTTTGTCTTTTTCGTTTTTAGCCATGGCGTTGTCAGTTTATTTTTGACTTATGAGTTTGAATGTCCCTTTGGTATCTTTCGCCCTTCTTTTTTTTATAGTTCCTTAGGGTCTGTGACATTTCTGTTTACACGATTTTTTTTTACGGTGAATAGACTTTTTTATAAGTTCATAACGCGAACTGACCCTTTATGTGTCTATTCATTATTTGATTGATTTACATTTTTCGTATAAACCATGAATCTCTTTTTATTCAAATTCGTATTTCAAATTTACATAAAAATTCGTACTCTCATAACAATGTCGAAATTTTCTAAACATTGGTGGAAATTGTACTTGAAATTTGGTTTGAACTAGCTTTCAGTTTCTCTTGTTATACTAGTGGTACTTTTTGTCTTTAGTCGTTTGGGTAGTTCAGTGTTCGTCTTTCGTTGTTATCTGTTATGTGTTTTTTTTTTCGTTTATTGTTTTGTACATAAATGTGTGTATAATTGGTTTTCTTGTTTGATTTTTTCTAATTTTGTTATTTCGAAGTCTTTTATAGCTTACTATAACAGTATGATTTTTGCTTCTTGTTGAAGGCCGTACGATGGTCAGCAGTTCAATATGTTCATGTCATATGGTTTCTTGTGAATAGTTTCATTGCCAATAATATACATCTTTTCATTTTTATAATGTGCATTTATTTCCTTATTGTATTTTCAAAAAATGAGCATTTTATGTAAGTTTAAAAAAATATTTATTTGCTTAACTCATTCTTACCTCTGCATCATGCCAGGTCTTCGCCTCTTTACCAACATGGTAGCACGAATGTCCATAAAGCTGAAATCCTGAAGGACATTGTTTTGATGAATGGTGACCGCAACCTACAAACATAATTAGTATTATACATTAGGACATTTTAGGATACCCTAAACATAGGGCCCAAGGGCCCAAGATGGCGGTCACCGGGGAATTCCCCTCACACGAAATATAGATGATATAAACCGATTTAGAACGTATGACGTATGTCACATATTTCGACCAATGAAAAGACTGCAAATTTATATAACCAAATAAGGATGTTAATCCCCTATACACAAATTAAATCCATTTAAGGACATATCGTTTTCTTAATCGGATTATGATGAAAAACCTTACGTATGTTTGACCAATGAAATCTTTTGTATAATGATATAACGATAAAAGGATGTTAATCCCTGTTAGGGATTAAGTCGTCATCCTTCAGGAGATTACGTCGTCATTGTAGTAGTAAATATTGTTCAACATATTGTACAAACAAATACTATGTTGAGTATGCTTAATTTATGATATTTAAATGATTTGGTCTTTTAAGCAAGAGGGATAACAATAATTGAAGCAATATACATTGATTAAACATCGAATCGATTGTAAATCTGCTGCATATTAATAAAAAAGTAAAAGGATGTGCATCTCTTGCCGGGGATTAAGTCGTCATCCCATGGGAGATTAAGTTGTCATCCCATAGAAGATTAAGTTGTAATACATATATTTGACCAGTGACATCAGCTGCATATTACTATAACGGTATGCCGTGGATTAAATGGCCATTCCCTGGGAGATTAAGTTGTCATAATAGAATCCGATATGGTATTGTTGATTTTTTTTTCAATAAAACTATCACGGTCAAGTGGGGCAACCTCTATAAGAATGCAAGAAGCAATACCTACATCGAAACGATGGACGAATATTTTACTTATTCGTATGGGAGATTAAGATGTCATCCCATGGGAGATTAAGTTGTCATCCCATGGGAGATTAAGTTGTCATACATATATCTGACCAGTGAAATCTGCTGCATATTACTATAACGGTATAAGAATGTTAATCCCTTGCCGGGGATTAAATGGCCATTCGCTGGGAGATTAAGTTGTCATAATAGAATTCGATATAGTATTGTTGTTTGATATGTTGCTGATGTTTCTGGTGCGCGTCTTAGGGAGTAAAAAAACTCGGGCGGTCCCTATGCAGGGAAGTGAAAAGCCACCCAATGACTTCCTTTCTATTCACAATTATCCGTGTTGACCACAAATGTTTTAGGTCTTTCGCTCACATAGGCAGGTAAGTCGTCTGCGCAGCAAACGTCGACCAAGTTTCCCCTTAAAAGTCCCTCCAGTGCTTTTCCTGACATTGGTAGCTGAATTGATTTCTTTCGACACCATGGTCCTCTAGACCCTGAAGGTGTGCAAAGACTAGTCCACAGTCTCGACAAGCTATCAGGTCTTCTCTGTCATTTTCTATATCTGACGTTGTACTTTCTGTATCGAAACTGTCGTCGACTTTCATCTCTTCGACAGCTTCAGAGTTGTGAACTCCGCTGCCCGTTTGCAAGACATCAGTTTGGAGTCTTGACGACTCTGTCGTTCCTGGTTTCAGGTCAACCAACAGGAATACATAGGGTCGCCTCGTCGCCTCTTCAAATTTTCGTAGAAATAAATTCGACCTTTTCGGATACATCTATCGTCCTAGCGTCATGACGGGTTGACGATCTATGGGATTGCTAAAGAGAACGAGGTAATGCCAGTTTCGTCTCTGGGTAGGATCCTTTCCAAAGTACAAGTTTTTATTTATTTTAAAACCACTACCGATAAGTTTCTGTTATGACTGACTTCTGTAAAAAAGGCGTTGTTGATTCTTGAATCTTTGGCCGATGTTGACATCATATCATCCAATATGATCATATTCCTCATACTGGGATCGAAAAAGTCGTCACTTTCTAAATCAACCGGAATACCGTGCAAAAAATTCCACTCGCGGTAGCACTGTTTTCTGTATTTCCCCATAGAGTGGCTGCCATCTCTTGTACAACCACACGATCCTTTCTGGGCATGGTTGGCACATCCTCCTTACTTGTTGTAGCATGTTTTTCATAAAAAACGTCTTTCCACACGAGGTCGGTCCAGACATGATCATGGTGAACGGATAATCAAAAACAAAGTCTTGTAGTAACTGCTGCTGCTGAGGTACTTCGTTGTCTTCTTTTAGAGGAAGGTACTGCTGCTGATGCTGCTGCTGGTGTTGCCGCTGCTGCTGCTGCTGGGCATGCTTGTTTTTCATATCTCTTCGAAGATTGTGAGGCCAAGAATAAACGCTACGACATACGTTGCAACTGAACATCTTCACCTTTTCTGCATGTGTATTCAATGTTCTCTTATAGGTTTCTGTCGAAAGTGCAGCAAGCAAAACAGGTGGTCGTCTTTCAGGCGACAGAATTTGAGATTGTCGTCCCTCAAGACGAATTCGATTTGATACAGATCGGATCTGGTTACTCTGAGGTAAATTGGTTTTTCATATTCGATGTCCGCGATATCTTCGTTCAAAATCTCTGCCGATTGAAGAATAGGAAGAGTCGTTCCTCTGACGTACGTGTGGTCTACGAAATCCGAGCAAAAGTAGACCCGTCTCGTTGGTGTTTCAAATTGTGGTACGAACGATAACTCCAGCAGTGCACACTCCCATTCTCCATTCATTATGTAGCGTTTATGAAGTCTAAATGCACCGCCATTATTATTTTCAAAAAGCGAGAGAGAATCTTCGCTTGATACGAATAGGTAAAATTCGTTCATCGTTTCGCTGTAGGTATTGCTTCCTGCATTCTTATAGAGGTTTCCCCACTCGACTGTGGTAGTTTTATTGAAAAAAAAACCAACAATACTATATCGAATTCTATTATGACAACTTAATCTCCCAGGGAATGGCCATTTAATCCACGGCATACCGTTATAGTAATATGCAGCTGATTTCACTGGTCAAATATATGTATTACAACTTAATCTCCCATGGGATGACAACTAAACTCCCATGGGATGACGACTTAATCCCCGGCAAGGGATTAACATCTTTTTACTGTTTTATTAATATGCAGCAGATTTACAATCGATTCGATGTTTAATCAATGTATATTGCTTCAATTATTGTTGTCCCTCTTGCTTAAAGGACTAAGTCATTTAAATTTCATAAATTAAGCATACTCAACAAAGTATTTGTTTTGTACAATATGTAGAACGATATTTACTTCTCCAATGACGACTTTATCTCCTGAGGGATGACGATTTTCTCCCCAACAGGGATTAACATCCTTTATCGTTATATCATTATACAAAAGATGTCATTGGTTAAACATACGTAAGGCATTTCATCATAATCCGATTAAGCAAACGATATGTCCTTAAATGGACTTAATTTGTGTATAGGGGATTAACATCCTTATTTGGTTATGTAATTTTGCAGTCTTTTCATTGGTGGAAATATGTGACATACGTCATACGTTTTATATCGGATTATATCATCTATATTTAGGGTGAGGGGAATTCCCCGGTGGCCGCCATCTTGGGCCCTAGGAAACCTATGTTTTAGGGTATCCTAAAATGTCCTAAACTATAGTACTAGAATTCGCAATTATCTTAAAATGTTGTCAAAAACCATCCTTCGGGTGACGAAATTTTAAAAAAAACAATTTGTTTTCATTATGTTCTCATCATTGAATACACAAATTAAAACATTTCGTTTGATTGGTTTCGTCCATATCACTTTTAATGTATTATATAAAATTAAACATCAACGTTACTTTTAATGTATTAAGGAATCGAGAAGCTAAGATGAAAGACAGGCGAAAGATGCCACAGGGATATTCAAACTCATAAGTCGAAAACTAACTGGCAATCGTCACTTAAAACAAATTAGCAATCGTCAAATAAATTATCAATGATTGGTAACTGTTCCTTGAAAAAGATGTTATAAGACTTCAAAACAAAGATAATACTATTCAACAACATTTGTTTTAACTGTCTGATTATTGATGCTCATATGTTTTGCTATTCATCGATTGATACTTTCTAATTTCTGGTATTTAGTCAGGCTCTACTGTAGCTATGCAACCGTAGCTTTTACGTTCTTTATGGGTTTTTTTTACAATTTGCGGACCATTGTTCACAAATATCATAAGGACTATAAGAGCTATGGTACTGCAGCTAGCTCTACTGAGGATCAACTCATTTTCTGATTGAACATCCTTGGTAATATATGGTTTTGTGATATTGTCTGTTATAGATTCCGTTTGTTATAATATCTAACATTGTCTTATTTCCTCACGAATGCCATCACGAGTTGGTTGACCTTTATGGAATATTCATTTTACAGATGATAGCGGATATGTTCCAAATGTCGTAACTACAATCCCGTCCCCTTTTCCCCGATGTGACCTACCGAATTAGACTTATTACCGGGTTTGTGCTAGCATGAGCAACACGAAGGGTTTTTCATGTGGAGCAGAATATGGTTACCCTTCCAGAGCAGATGAAATCATCCCCAGTTTTTGGTGGGGTTCGTGCTGCTCAGTCTTTAGTTTTCTGTGTTGTGTTTTGTGTACTATTGTTTGTCTGTTGCTGTTTTTCTTTTTTAGTCATGGCGTTGTCAATTTATTTTCAACTTATGAGTTTGAATGTCCCTTTGGTATCTTTCGTCTCTCTTTTTCTTTGCAATGTTTATATATCATTACAAACTTACCAGTAATAACAGTCGTAGGAACTTGTGTTGTTGTTGTAGTCGGTGTAGTCGTTACAGTTGTCATGACAACATTGTCGTTGCAAAGGTCATAACTGCAACAACCTCCTTTTAGTTGTAATTGTTGTCTTTTGCCAAATATTTGCGGGCTGGATATCTTAAATCTCTGACAAAGCTTTAACATTAAAAAAGATAATATACAGTATGGTAATTATCTCTGTTTCTCTCTCTTGGTCGATCGATTGGTCGATAACATTTAAATTGAAAAAAAATTAAATTAGTGAGCACGTGTATGCATTCGGATGTAAAATGTTTTTAAGCCGAAGGAATCGCAAAAATTGTAAATTCTCGATCCTTTGAATGGTAAATTCGTAGTCTACTTTGTTAAGTTTTTGGACCTTTCAATGTCAGAGTTATAGATAAATTAATAGGGCGATATAATTTTGACATTAAGTGCAGAAATGTGCTATATCAGTCATAAACTTGACTAATTAATTTATCTGATCCAAATTTGCCATTGTACAGATAATCATAATGAATATAATCAGGCTTATTTATTTCAAATGACTCACATTAGCGTTGTGGAAAAAAATCTTGTACGTTTGCATTTTTTGCACTTTTTCAATACATGCAATTGAAAGAAGTTGGAATAATTCAAGCAAATATGTAAAAAAAAATTCAAAAGAAATAGATAAATACTGAAACAACTATTTTTCAATTTCCTTAAAAATAGTATTTTGTCGATTTGTAAAAGAAAAGGAAGACACCAAGGGCCTATTAAAAATAAATTGAAGAAAAAAATATCTTGTGATGATCATGCATATTCTTCAGATCGGAAGTCAAATTTAGAGGGAAATTAAAAATATCGTATATCTTTGGTCAGATTTCAAGACGAAATTTACAATAAAAAATCAATACAAAAGGCAATTAAAGATCTTTGAAAATACCTTTAAAAATACTCGAAACTTAGTCTCTCGATAAAATTGGAAGTATGAAATGCGAATGGGGAAGGATGTGGAGTTAGTTCTCTTTTGATGACTAATTTGCATTTTATTTTTGTGAATGAATATGTTCTTTGAACACAGTAAAGGTATGAATTATAGGGATTGAAGCATAGTTATATTTTGTTATTTAAGGAATGACTGTAATATTTTTTCTGTCTATGAAGAAATAACATCAAAAATGTGGTGCACACTGAATAACCCGCGTAGCGGGTTATTTTAAAGTGTGCACCACATTTTTTATGTTATTTCGAACAGACAGAATAAATATTACAGTCATTTCTTATAATTTAATTCTTAATTCCATTTTAAACCGGAGTAAATCATGATAAAACGTTGATGACGTCAAGGTCACATGACAAAATTATGTCTATGAGCTGATAAACAAAACAACGTCAGCCAATCGGAAGACGCGTTACATCCAAAATTAAATTATAAAACAATATCTTTGAAACTTCGACTATTTATTTTTCATTTTTCATAAAGTTGCAAATACATCAGGACACTTTACTTCGAGATAAAGTACATTACTTCGAGATAAAGTTATGAAACCGCATCATGAATAGCCTTTATAGATAACAATTCTATATCAGTGAAGTTGAGGAGGATTTGCTGGCGTTGTAGTATTTACCAAGCGAATTTGTCACCAAACATGGAAACCATGGACAATCAGATGACGAGGTTACTATTTACCCAACGGAGTCATGATTCAAATAGAATATGCTATCTGACTGTACATTATATTTCAGTTAATGCAGGTATAGTATATTATGGTAGTAAATCCTAAAGCAAAAAAAAAATGAAAAAACCACATACCTGATCATCCATACATCCAAGTCTGTATACCGGTCTGAGATCAAAACTTAATGTTTCAAGAGAATAACATTTCTGAAATAATTAGTTTAATAATGATAAGACACTCATTACATTATCTTTAAATTTCTGCTTACATTTACTATGTTATCTCATTTTTGCAAAAACAATTCTTAACAAATTATAAGTGCATTATACATGTAACACAATCATGTAGCAGTAGAGTGTGTTTCCTTTTTTTATTTTCTTAAAATGAATTTTGATGTTTCAAAAGGTCGAACTCACAATGTTTAATATTTTTAGACAAACTGCAGAAGGTTAATAAGGCCACCGGCGGACCCTTTAGAGAAATGTTCTTTAACATACAGAGATCGTGACTTCATCCTTACACAGGGTATTTACGTCCCCAAAACCCCTCCAACCCAATTCCGATTGGACGTGGCTGTGTATTTATTATATACTTAGTAGTAAATACAGAATAATAGTACAAAATGTATGTGTAATACGGTCAACGCCAATCGTGCTGTATCAGCCAACCATGATGATATCGATATCAGTCACGGTTGCAAAGACTTTAGCACACCTTTAATCTGTATGACGTCACGTCATTGATATCAGTCACTGTTGCAAAGGATTCATCAAACCCATAATCTGTATCACGTCATGTCACATAAAAACATATCTTCTTGAGGTATATAATTAAGTGTATATAATATGGCTTTTTCAATATCACACAACGTATCAATCCTCAACCAATATAATCCCTCGAGCAGAGCTCTTGGGGTTATATTGGTGTCTCGGGTTGATAAGGATGTGATATTGAAAAAGCCATATGATATTTTCTATTTATTATACATCCCACATAGCCAAACGGGGCGTAATCTTCATATTACCATTTAGGTTTAGCTAATTATTAAGCCAGGTTTAACTCAACATTTTAGTTGGAAAATGCATGTGCTAAGTCAGGAATATAGCAGATGTTCCGTGGTTCGATAGCGTTTGATTTTTTTTTAATTTTATGAACTTCCACTTTGAATTTCCCTTAGAGATCAGTAGTTTTGTTATTATTTTTTGTTATTTTTTTTTCCTTTATTCGAAATGACCTTGCAGTGATAAAACTGTCATTTCGTACTGCTTGTTTCAATTTCGAGATTTTTTTCCTAAAAATATCTCCCGCATTAAAAACAGCTCACCATGCCCCCGTTACATGCGGTGGTCGCCTTGCAGTCATCAATATGTTCTATGTCATTACAACTATTACATCTAACTGAAATGGCGGAAAGCAGAAAAGATATCATTAATATGGATAAAACATTAGCCAACAATCCGTTTGAAAAAATACACTTACGAATTACTTTTCCCATATACTAGAAGGGTAAAAGACGTTTGGGAAATACACATAATTGCTTGAGAAGTTCGAAAATTCATTAATATGTCTTTCGATACAAAAATAACAATAGCCCTCATTATTGTTTACGGGTTACCAGTAATTTAAAAGCATTTTTTGGATATTCAATTCATGACACTGTTAATGTCATACTACTATTTTAATTTGGGGAAAAATGAACTGTGTTACTGTATTAAATAAAGGCTTACGAACAAAAATCGAAGACATTTTTTTTTTTTTTATGTCACAAGACTTCTTACCTCTCGTAACTTAAACCTCAGATTGATCACTACGTTCAACATGCAGTTGCCACAAGCAAATTATTATTCCTGTTATTTGAAACCTTCTTTTACATTTGTTCCATTTGTTTTATATTTAATTTCTTCTTTCTGTAAACTTAAAGTTATAATATACTTGTTGTTATCTTGGTTCTGATTCCTAGTTGCGTCAATTCCAAAAACTTTATTTGCTTCTTCGCTAAGCACGCAGCAGTTAAGAGTAGGATCAAAAACTGTTCAGCTCTGAGCCAGAATAATATGCCGGTGAGGGTGACATGTCTTCGTGTGGATTATTACCTTGGTGACTAGTTCGTTAACAAACAAGCGGAGGAGTCGGTTTTGTACAAAGCACAGTCCGTATCCATATCACATTAACATGTTTTACGTCCTGAAATGCATGCAAAATGTATTTGCCACTGGACGTTAAATACCTCTTCATCAAAACACTGATGTAACTTCTTATTTTAACATGTGATACACCGAAAATACATGTTGGATTTTGTTTTGAATCAAACTAACATGTTTCTAAATTTGCAGCAGTGTGCTAACTTAAAAACAAATAATATTACGTTACTCACAGCAGCTTTTACACATCAGGGGACATAACTTCGAAGCAACACATGTATCGTTCTTACAGAAATCTGGGTTTAACTGTATTATACGTGTACAGATGGTTTCATCAATATTTCGACAGTCGTTGTTCAATGGTGAGATAGTTGTTTTATCTGCGATCGAAAAAGTTAAAGACGTAAATCATAATGACTACAATGTGGTTTTTAAAATTATCACAAGTTAACCCATGTGAAAACTATCTAAATTATAATAATCAAAAAGCAGATTTTAGAGGTCACAATTACTTTAAAGCATTTGGGTATATAATTGGCCAAACAGTATCCATCATAAGTTACTCGCACTCTCTGACAGTGCCAACCTATGAAATAGTTACGATATATCTAGCTAGAGATTATGAATTCATTCTTGAGGAAATCAAACATGGAGAACATTACACGTCTGACAAAGCAACGAAATCTTTTTTTTAAAACATTTTTTAGGGTAAAATGAAAACCAAAATACAGTTTAATTCACGTGATGTATATTTGAGGAATGTCAGTACTTGCTTTAAAAGAGTAATAACTGTCAATTCCCAATTAATTCACGGTGGCAACTCTTCAAAAGCAGTACTTAATGTTATTTGTATTCTAATGCAATATTCATGTAATATTTGAAAAAAAAATGAAATATAACAGAAACCATATCCAGAAATCAACGCCACTTTGCTTATTTGAATATTATACTAAAGAAATCGGATACGGGTCACGGAAATTATATTGAAATGATAGGGAATTTAGAAAAAAATGTCTGTTTTAACTTTGATTTAAGTGATAGACAGGTTGCCGGGGCAGAAAATAAATATACACAAAAATATGCACCATTTAAACGAAATATAATGACTGGCGTTGCAAAAATCAAGGTTCCTGAGCTATTTTAAAAATCGAAGCGAGAGGCTTTTAACATTGCAGTATAAAATACAGGCTAAAATGGCTGAAACGTCAAATTTGCAAACTTCGTGTTGAAAATTGGCTAACAAGGTCATTAGAAATACAGGTTGCCGGGGTGAAACTTGAAACTTGAATGTCCAAAGAATAAGCAAGTCCAAACCTTGTATGTTTAGTCGTTGAACTCTAGGCTCCCACGTAAAGTTAAAATGCCTCTATTTCAAAAAGAATAAACTCACGAAAACACGAAAAATTCACTAAATTCGCGTTCATTGTTTTGATTTTGACCGCCTGACAACTTTACGGAAATATCAGAGTAATAGGGATCATTCGTAATATTTCTTCCTGTAGACGTCGCTGGTGTTCCATAAGTGGTTGTCGGAAACGTTTTAATCAATTTGACGCTTGAATCGCATTACGTTGCACATGTCTACATTAGTAACCACAATCGACACTCGCTAATTTCACCAAACTAAGCTCCAAAATTGTTGTGTCCCCGGCTGCAATTATTCTGAAGGGGGACCACAGATTCCCAAAAGACCATGAAATTCTTTTAAAATGGAGAGGAGGCATCAAGAGAGTTGATCCACCCATCAAAAATATCTAGGGAAACCCGGCGGAAAATATTCGACCAAGTTTGCCATAACCAGCTGATAACCATGTCATGCCAGGAGATTATATATAACAACAGGATTAGGTTATTATGTATTTATATTTTTCTTATATTTAGTACAGTATTTAACCTCTTTGTTTTATTTTTTCTCGATTAAACAGCCCAATAATTTGACAGGTTATTATTTATTAAAATAGGGGGATGACACAGGGATGTATTTTATTCTTCAAATATACCCTCACACTTTGTAAGTTTTTTCCTAGTCTTCACATTTTTTCACCCTTTTACCTTTGTTTGCATTGTAAATAAGAAATAATAATTATGTTGTGCACTTAATTATAGCAAGTGAAATATATTTCCCTGACAAAACAATGCATGAAAGGAAGAGAACTACATGTATTGGGAAATATGATAATCCCTATATTGCATTCTAAAAAAAAACCATGGTACATATGAGCATAATTTTTCTATTTGTTTGTCGCAATAAAGTCTGAATTTTCTAAGGACTTTACATTAAACTTATGGCAAAAGCTGTCAGAACAATTTTTTTTAATTCTTCAAAGTTGGAAATCAAGAGTATTTTTGTTAGAAAAAAACATCACACACACACCCCTGCATTAAACGCTTGTCCTTTATGAATGATAAGAAAAATTTCTGAACCTGCAGTTTATTAAATAACATGATGCTTTGTGTTTTCCTGTTTTAATATTTCAGAAGCCATCATGGATAACAGACTTTTTACCCAACCATGAAGTGATGAATGGGATACATCTTTATGTTTGAAATGAGTTCATGGTTAAAATCCAAGTGGCTGCAAGTGCGGGGATCAATACTTCTGTCAGAACCAGATGTAAAAAAAATTTGACAAAGGTGACAACAATTGGCAAATAGTGGAATTATGGAACAGGATTTATTTACTAGCCAAGACAGTTCCTTATATTAACACACAAACTTTTCTGAAAGGGAAATTCCAACTAGATCAGAAGAAAGTAGTTTGTGATAGAAAAGTGTCGTCCAACCGAATTCACATTAAAAGAGTCCTTGTATTGTCTAAAAGTTACACAAGGGTAAAACTTAATGCCCCTCCTCCGCTGTGGCAGGGGAATAAACAATCTGAAACATGTAATTCCACGTGGAAACTTCTAATTAAACTTGGTTCCAGAATTATCTGTGTTTGCTGTGTTCTTTCTAATTTCATAAAAATACATTGTAAATAAATATGCATAAAAGATGAAATGGATTTACATGCAATTGATTTTATTATTTGTTCTAATGTGGTGCTGTTTCACGACTGCTTTCCCAGTTAGCACAAAAAAAAATAGAAAAATGTTGAAAAAAAATTGTAGAAAAATATCAAAATCATGCACAAATGTATGGCGTTAAAAATATTTTCAAAACATTTTCATGATACTTTTAAAACATCATTAAAATGTTACTGAATTTTGACAACAATGTTTGTAAAATGTCTTATAAATGATTTGAATGTGTTTGTTAATCAAATATCCCTGAAACATTTTTAAAACATATAAAAATTCATTTCTGCAGAATAAAATGTTTTGATAAAGTTCAAAAAATATTTTTTAACAAAATGTTTTAATAATCTTCATATTCTCAAAAAATCATTAAAAAATCATTTAAATGTTATTCGAAATATCATTATAAAAATGTTTTCTAACATAATCTTTCAAGTCTTTTTATAAAATATTCAGAAACATATAAACAATGTTTAATATCAGAGACAGATTTAGGAGTGGGGTGCCTGGGTCCCCCCTTTATGGCCCTTATGGAGCTACATTTATGGTAAATCCAGATTTTTTTATTACTCTCAAAACTTTGTCTAGTTTGGGGCCTGATGACCCCTTTTAATGCCCCCGCAACTGAAAGTTGTGGGCATATTATTTTACTCCTGTCTGTCCTTCTGTCTGTCTGTCCGTTCGTCCCATTATGGGTATATAGTTATTCAGCACAACTCCTCCTACAGTTAGAATCCTAGGAAGTTTTCACTTTGCTGTCTGTTTGTACATATATTGAAGATGTGCATGTGGTTATGGTTTTCATTTTTAGTGATATTTGCCCTTTTGGGAGATAGTTGAACTTTGTCATTTTTGGGGTATAAGCGGTTAAATGTTATAGTTATTTTAAAATAACACTTTGCATATACAGGGGCATCAATTGTGTCTCCCAGACACAATAATATCTCAAAGAAAGTCCTACATTGACTTTGTTTTAATACAGTTACATCAGTGTGGAGTGGGGGGGGGGGGGGTCACTTTATCTAGATTCAAAATCCTGGATCCACATTTGAGAAAACAACTGCCATCATACTGATCTTTACCCCACATCTCCTTTTACATTTGTCTGCATGCTGTTGATGCCGGCTTAATCTATATATTTTTTGTCTAATTTTGTCGGGTAAATGTCTCATTGACAAACCCCAATATTTCCTGTCTTAGATATCAATTTTATTGATAGTCCATTTTTTTGTATTTTGCACTGAACACATATGAAAAAGATGTGGTTTGATTGCCAATGAGACAACTCTCCACAAGAGACCAAATGACACAGAAATAATTACAACTATAGGTCACCGTACAGCCTTCAACAATGAGCAAAGCCCATACCGCATAATTTGTTTCACTTAAATAGAGGTATTAATTTTTATACGACCGCAAAAATTTTTTTGGGATCGTATAATGGTATGATGTCGTCGTCGTCTGCGTCGTCGTCCGAAGACACATTGGTTTCCGGACAATAACTTTAGTTTAAGTGAATGGATCTTTATGAAATTTTTTAAGAAAGTTTAATACCACAAAAGGAAGGTTGGGATTGATTTTGGGGATGATGGTCCGAACCGTTTAGGAATTTGGGGCCCAAAAAGGGGCCCAAAACAGGCATTTTTCTAGTTTCAGGATAATAACTTGTGTATAAGTATATTGACTGCTCTAAAATTGTACCACAATGTTTAATACCACAAGTAGAAGGTTGGGATTCATTTTAGGGGTTATAGGGCCAACAGTTTAGGAATTAAGGGCCAAAAAGGGGCCAAAAACAAGCATTTTTCTAGTTTCCAGACAATAACTTGTGTTTAAGTGTATGGATCTCTCTGAAATTGTACTACAAGGTTCCATACTACAAAGGAAAGGCTGGGATTGAGTTTTGGGGTTATTGCTCCAAGGGGGGGAGGGGGGGTCAAAAAGTTGGGGGGGGGGGATTTTTTTCACAATTTTTTTTAAGGGATTCATATTTTTTTTTCAAAATTTTTTAAAATTTCGAATTTTTGAAAAGTTTCAAGAAGAAATCTTCAATTGCACAGTATTGCGCAATGGATTTATAAGATCTTTGACCACATTTATTTTGTGTCAGAAACCTATATTATGTCAAAAATTTGATTACAATCCAAATTCAGACAGTATCAAGCTTGAATATTGTGTCCAAATTTGCCCCAACTGTATAAGGTTCGACCTCTGCTGTCCTATCAGGCTGCGCTCAGCAAAGCATTTTATTTCAGATTATAAATATCCTCATGCATTTCATTTGGTCCAGCATTGAACAAATTTTTTCTTAGAAGTGTTTTTTTATCTTTTGTTTGATCATGTGTAGCATCTGTCATTTTCTGTCTGAACAGCTTTTCGATGGTTTTCTTTGCTGTCTTGGTCAACAATACACAAGATAACAACAATAAGAAATGCAAAATTTTTATTTAATTTTGTCATTTCACTGTTCTTTTTCAATTTTTCTTTTGTTCCATTCTTTTTATTTCTCTTGACTTCTGCTGGCTTCTGTAAAGAAAATTTTAACAGATTAGTCCTGTTGTTTAGTGAGTAAACTAGTGGAGATAATTTAAATTTCATCAAATTACACAAGAAAATTTTATTTTAATCCAGTCTGGTTTCATTAAAATTTATATTGAAAAGCGACATCTAATCAGTGTGGCTGGATTCGGAAGATATACACGTATATCTGTGGAGTTTCAGGTGTATTATTATCATACGAGTCTGTAACGGTAGAGTTCACCAGTACTTAAATAAAACTGTACAGTACCATTTTCCCAACTGAGATTAGGACCTGTAACCTTTACTTGGTCTTACAAAAAATCAACTCTCTTAATGGTAATTGTATATTTTAACACAAATACATTTTTGTGATATAGATTGAGGCTATAAAAGGATAAATACCTTCACACAATCTGCTCCTCCAGAATGGTTTGAATCTAAGCTTATAAATTTTGGCTCTTCTAATTGATTCTACAAAAGATAAAAAAAAGTCAAAATATTAAATAAAATACAGTCAAGAAAAAATCACATAGTACTAGTCAGCTACAAAGGTCACAACATTCAAAAATGAAAGAAAATTCAAACAAGAAAACTAATGGCTTGATTTTAAATTATAAAATAAGACAATAAAAAAACAAATATATATGTATATATATCAGAAATTAACCAACTATAACTACTAAATTAAAGGCTCCTGACTAGGATTGACACATTAACAATTATCTATACTTACAAAAAATATATCTGGCCTAGCCTTGAAGGGCTAGTGATTAATCTCAGGCACTTGTCTCAGAAAAAAATTTCCTATAACACATGTTATATTAAGGTATATAGGAATTTTTTTTTTTGAGACAAGTGCCTGTGCGATTAATCATGAAAACTGTATAATGAATATATTGTCTTTCATGGTTACAAATATCTACCAGTAGAAAATGTCTGCAATATTTCACTATTTTATATTACTTTACTAACTAATACATTGTTGATGACGCTGAAAACAGCATACCTAATATATGCTATGTCTTGCTTTTGGACTCTGTCAAGGCAAGACAAAAAGGAAAGAAATCAATGATTCAAGTTCAAATATATTGATTGATTGTTGGAATCTTAATGTCCAGTGACAAATATTTAATGCATGTTCCAGGCAAAGTTTAATTAAACAAGCTAAGGAATGGTTTGAATTTTTTTAAAACATGTAGGTAAAGATTTTTTAAAGTACTATTACATAGATTAAATTCTGCTTGCCATGAAATATTTGAAAAACAAAATATCATGTGGATTTAATGGTATAACTAATGAAATTTTGAAAAATTCTTGTATGCTGAATGTTGGGCATGATATGTATATAAAATTATAAAACATTACTTTTTTCTTAAAAATTAATAAAATTTTCTCTCTAGCAAGTTCTTATTGGAGAGAAAATTTATTTAACCCATATTCAAAGGAAGATGTTTTAATAGCCCTTCAAACAACAGAGGTATAACCCTTTTTACTAGTTTAGGAACATTTTTTTTCTAGAGTATAATAGTTTAGAAAACTATTTAGAATCTTATAAGATTATCTGCCAAGAACAGATAGGATTCAAAAAGGACGTAGAACTACATGTATAGGGACCACATTTCTAAGTTTTAAAAATATTTAGTTGGGTCAGTTTTCATAATTATGTTCTAATCAATTTTGCAGAATTTGAAATTATTCCATATTTAAATAATTCCTTGTTTGAACTTGAATTGCAAATAAAACTTCATTATAGATGTACATATCTTTTAAAATTTCCAAAAATGGCCCCATCATGTTATATATAAAAAGTTTGCAGAGAAGGGCCTTTATATTTCTTTTACAGTGTCTTCTTTTTTTAAGTTGATGAAGCTGAGACATATTAAAAGATTTAAAGCTTAAAAATGTAGAATCATGTCTTGTTTAAAAGTGGTATTGGGAGGATTTAATACTTTCCTTGTGTAATTGTCCCATTTTCAAAAGTAATAAATTGTTTATATATAACTGGGACTAATAGACTATTAGTATAATAGTCCCAGTATATAACAAGTTAAATTTAATTTTCCCTTGCCCAGTCTGCATGGTCTGTATCACATTTCATGGCCAACAGATAATATCTGTATAGAACCCCTATTTTTAATTATTATTATACAAAATCATTTAATTGTATCCTAGAAAGTTTAATTATATATTCATGACTATTTATATGTTCAGTGGGGTTTTTATTTTGCTTTTTTCTAACTTGGGGTACATGTATTTGTCACTTGGTATTTCACACTAAATATTTCATATAAAATTGCATTTCAAAAGATTATTTAGGGGACATTTCTGATTTGATTTTATGCAACTTGGTACCAACAGCAGAATAATTATATTTGTTTATTTTCATTTTCTTCTGAGATAAACATAAATATTATTGTCTATTATAAACAATCTTGCTATATATTTATATTTCAACCAAATTAAATTGTAAAAAATAGTATATGTGTTCACATCAGGAGAAAATAAAAACAACAGACATTGACAGATGACAGAGCTATGACAAAACAAACAAATACTCTTTATATACATTTCAGCGTTTTTCAACACATTATTTGTAAAAATACAACCATAAATGCCTCCAATAAACGTCTTTTTATATGAAAAATATAGCCCAAAAATGTTGCCTTGTTGGTGACGAAAGCTTTTTGGCAATGTACTGTAGCGGCGTTTCCGCTTATAATAGAAGAAATCTCAATATTTTTTAAATACATCGTTTACCTTTCTATAAGATCTATATTTCTGTCTCTTGTGACAGCTCCACGTAACGTTAGTTCTGGAACAGACCAGGTATTGTAATCATCGGATGCCATTGTTTACGTTGTAAATACAGATGCAAGCGTTTTACGTGATTGAAGCGTTCAAGTAACCACTTATGGAACCGCAGCGCCGCCACGCGTGAAAAGTCGTGAATGATTCCTATTATAAACAAGGACTCTGTGACGGGCAACTTATAATATCCGTGTTTTAAAGATTTTAATGATATCAAGCCAGTCCAGTTCAAACTATTATCACGTGGTACAATTCTCATTTACATATTATGAATATTAATTAGCAAAAGTACTACTAATTTCTGGTTATGCTGCGATGGCGTAACGTTGTTGCCAATAACTCCGGCTTAAAACCGTAAAATTAACGGCACACATCATCATATGTAAACTGGCGTTACATATCAAATTGTGTTATAACTATCAGTTCCCTATGAAGACGAAAGGGTTTAACGACCTTGACTACCCATGAGGGTCTTGCACGGTCGGTTTCCTATGCCTTTGGTCTTCAACTTTATACACTCTTGTGACGACGTAGACCATGACGATTATTGTTGACGTCATGAGGTAAAATAGATATTGGCTTATTTTATTTTCACTTATCTAATTAAACTAAATTTAAAGATTAGCTTATAACAATTTAACAATTCATATTGTGAATATTCCAGATGAGAAGCGGGTGGTCGTTTCCATATAATGTTCTAATGCACAGCCATTTTGGAAGTCAAGGAAGCCCAATTGATTAAATTTTACAAAAAAAACAGAGCTATATTTTTTATTTTTCTATTGTCTGCTCCATTTCCTTTATCCCTTTGTCATAATAACATGAAAACATGTTTTATGAAGTAATAATTATTATGTATGGTTCATATATGAGCGTTGAAGTTTCCATGTATTGTATTTGAATTGTAATAGGTAGGTTTCTTAATGAGAAAACGCACTTGATGGAGGTGTTGTGATCATCTGATGTTGATGCTTTTCATATTCAATCTCCTCTGGAGTCATATCATTACATCTATCTTCGTGACAGCATGCAGCATCAACTCTAAGACTGCGTTTCATATTATCACCAAAGTAGCTTACACAAAGCTGAAATATCATAAATTAAGATAAATGTTTCTTTTGTAACTTATTATGGACACAACATATGACCATAAAGAAATCACGCATAGCACATCATAGCATAGTATCAACAGTTTCATTTACATTGGCATTATTAATGATATTTTTGCTATTACCTCCTCCCCCTCCATATTCTCAAGGAAGTAGTTCTCGCATTACCGTTAAAAGCAGTGATATATTTTACTTTATTGTTTATATTTGGCTACTTTTTTTGCCCTGAGCAAATATAAATCCTGATCAGACAGCAACGTATATAACACTTCTGACACAAAGAGAATAAACTAACAGAAAATCTAATTTATAACTGAAAAAATCTTTCATTTACATACAATGGTGTTGGATGTAAGATAATGAATTGAAACCCAAAGACACAAACACCCAAAAGACATAACGTTACAGTACCCAAATTGCACCGAGTACCCAAATTGCACCTATTTAGCAAAAATATCAGCGAAAATATTACAAGTTTTCATAGGGACTTAACAATTTGTATTGTTTTATTATTTGACATTATGCACGTCTCTCAAATAGGTAAATACATTTATATCAACAAATGAAGTATTCACTGCAGGAAGTAAAATCTACGGAAACGTCACAATGAGACGTCCACAAGAAGTCATCTTTTAAAAATGAACAAATGAAATATGTTACTGTCATCCATTTCTTAAAAAATGAATAGTAAGCATGGAATAATGTCAAATTATTCTAAATATTTGAAAAAATAAAATAAAACATCTGCCATTCGATTTTTAAGGATGTGAATTTAAGCATGGATGCAATTTGGGTACTCATCATTACAGAATCATGGATCGTTTTTAGGTCGGTTCAAACCCATTTTTCTATGATTCAATATGGATTCAAAATTAAATTGGTGGAAATATATGGTAAATAAGGATACATCAACAAAATAAACCCAGAATTGAAACTTTTGTCTGGATTATAAATAAACGTAGGTGAAAAAATTGTCAAAATATGTGCAATTTGTGTACCCTCACGTTATAAGTTATCATAATTTTATTATACTTACATCCTTTGTAGCACATCCCAGTTTATATATTTCTCTAAAATCGTCGGCGAATGACTGCGTGGTAAAACAATGCTAGAAAAAATGCCAATAGTAAATATATATACTACTGTCTTTAAAGCATTCATTCCGTTGAATAATCATAGAACGTATGCAAAAACAACTTATGCTAAAAGAGGCAACAAGCTGATATGATATGTAGCATTTTCTATTAAATTTGTCGTTTTACATCGTATTTTTTTATTCAACTACAGATTCATTTTTGAGGCTGCGGTGACCCAATTGTCTCAGTAGTTTATCTAAATTTATTACTAGCATGTAAAATCTGTGGTGGTGGGTTCGAATGCCGATTTAAATTGAAAAAATTGTCAGTTTTCCTGCCGAAGGTAGGTCGGTCGGTCTATACGTTCGATACGGTTACTCCGTATTCCTCAAATAACAAAATCTTGTCTTCGTGATATAGCAAGGATGATGAGAGTGGCGTTAAATATCAACAAACACACAAGCATCGACGTTTCTAAGACAGTTTGTTATTAACTTAATGGACTAATGTTTTGTTTTTGAGTTTTGTCTATTTCAATAATACATCATATTCTTTTCAAAATTGGTACTAACTAACTTGAGCCTCTTACAAATCGTTTAGGATTGTAATTAAATATAAAAGACTTACATGATCTTTTGAAGGACATTCTACCACGTTTGTGCAATTCTTCGGATTATCTACCTCATGACACTCGTAACAATTAGTAGCTGAAATAGTTGTTCCTAGAAATAAGTCTTATCAGAATACATTCATTTTTTCATTTTTAATTTCAACTGAAGAGTTGGTTCTACTTAGTTATTTGGGTCTATTTCTTTTTATTTCACTCATCTATTTCTGGTACCGTATCTACCAATGTGACTTGCAATATTATAGTTGGGAGATGTCAATGAGACAGCAAACCGACGACAAAACAACCAAAACATCTATCAAAATCTATATACACAAATGAAAAGGAAAACTGCTTAACTTGATGATTTCAAAGTGAATTTAATAATAATCTGAAAACCTTAGATTCGTCAGTTTTGAAAGCCAAAGAGATGTAAATGATAAAACGAAGCTCTAGAAAAAAGAAAAAAATGTTTTGACGTAATTTTACTTCTGTGAATTGAAACCTTATGGATTTTGAAAATATTACTGACAATTTCTAATTGAGAAATTAACAAAACAAATGTCTGAATCAAATCATGGCAATTTAAAAACCATTAGAACTCATAGTATACCTTTGAGACTAATTCTCCACAAGATGTCATGGCCAGAATCAATATAAATATATCGTATGATTATTCCAAATTTTCTACATTTCTAGATTCCATTTTAACACACGTGTTTGTTTTATCTAGCAAAGAAGTAAAAATCAAATCTACCTACGACAAAGTCCACAACTCCGTTGGCACAATGATGAGACACAGGTTTCGCTGCAAAATCCTGGATACTTTTGAATTAGTTGGGAGCAAACCTGGTTTTCTATGTCCTCACATCCATAAATTGTGTTAACGTGAAATACTGACAACACTGTTTTGAAATTAAAACAATATTAGTGTTTGCCAAAACAAATGTTCAACTCACAAGGCATGTATGTGAGTTAGCAGCTGGTTCATAGTTCAAATTTTCTAAGTTATAAGTAATAACAATTTGATTCGATAAAAAACACATGATGATATTCATAGTTAAAAGGAATAAAAAGAGATGTGGTGAATCGTTTTGTGACCCCTACAAGTTTATCGCCAATTCTCCTTTGTCTTGAATATATAAGTCCTTACGTGAATCACAAATTTCTCTTTAAAATTTATAAATTTAAATCAATAAAATGCAAACGTAGATGAACTTTTGAAACATGATATTTCTAATACACAAAAAAAACAACGAACGGACTTACATTTGTACACTCTAGTAACATGTGGAAAATAAATAGATAAACAATGGAAAACTAAAAAGGACATTTTCGAAACTTTTTGTCTTATGTTGTACGAAGGACTCAAAGTGACAATTTGATATTAAAAATATAATGCAAAAGTCTATCGGAAATGCATAAATGACCTGGTCTGATAGAAACAGATAATATAAAAAAATTCCCAAGAAACATTTTACCTTCGATATGTAAGGAGGGCTTGAAGTGTCACTTTGAAATTAATAATTGTCTAAAATTCGGGTAAATGAACCAATGGCATTGTCTAGACTCTCCTGATCATCCAATCTTAGCGGTCCCCAAGGTTGTTTTGCAATATATTTCGAATATTAAACTGGAAATTTGAGCCCTCCGTACATATCGAAAATGGAAATGTTCAGAGATTTCCTTGTGCTGTATTAATATCTATGCCTAGCCTTACTGTAACCCATATTTTATAGACATTGAAAAATTAGAAAGGTCTCGCTGGCCGTCATATAAGCGGTCTCCGGTACTTTTTGCATTATATTTGGAATATAGCGGCGCTTTGAACATGTCCATTACGGTTTTTTTATAATTAAATATGTTTCAAGTGTTAATGAATTGTTCGTGTTTTCATCTTTATAATTCAGGCATGTTCAAGTAATAAAATAATATTTTGGTTTATTTTTTATCGATGTCGATTGATAAACTATAAAGATAGAATCGTGGTCTATACATGTAAGGGGTTATATTTGAGGACAACAAAAATTTACGATTATGTGTAGGAGTCAGAAAAAGATTTCTATTTTCTTTTTTTTCATTCATTTCTACGAGGATATCATTTTTAAGAGTCTTTTAAATAGTCAGTTTTTATTATTTTTAACTGAGACATTTTGAATAACCGACTGCTGCATGTGCTGGCGACCGACTGTTGATTATTCAATATCGAATAACGAATAACAAATCGACCGCTAAATTGTACAAACATTTAGAAGACTACTTCAATATATAGATTTTTTTTTCTTATTAATAAGCTTGTTTTCTCATTGACTTATATATACCCAACACCTGCTTCTTTTATACTCTACTTCTAATTAGAGACTTTCCATATGGAGTAGAATAAAACTGGCTTTTTTTCAGTACTTAAACAGTAATTCATTCAGGTTGCATAAATATTTAATATTTTCCGTTAAATAAATTTGTGAATAATTTTGAAACTTTGGTGCATACAGCTGAATACATGAATTATAAATTCGATTGACTATTTACCTGTCAAAAGTGTATGCTTGTTCATATTTGTATTGATCAAGGTTAACTTTAATTCCGATAAGAAACTCGTGACAGTATTATATAATAATCTATACAGTATGTTATACTACAATAGATATGGAATTAAACATATTTTAAGGGGGCATCCAACTATTTGGTGATTTCGTACAATATATTGCTTTTTTATTTTCATTTGAGAGAGACACTCGTATGATATAGTTGAGTGTTTTTTTTAGAAATCTTTATTGTATTTTCTTAAACGTTCCTGTCGGCCCTCGTTTCACAAAAAATCTTACGACTTAATTTGTTTGTAAATCATCAACAATTCTGTAAAATTAAGATCAAGTTTAGTCATAAGATTTTTGTGAAGTGCAGACCTGATCGGGATTAAAGGGTTGAGGGAATATGTCAAAATATTAGAACCTCATCAGGGATTATCCTTACTTATCATATTTCAATGTCGTGGTCGGATTAACAAAGGTGCTTTAAATTCTTGGTTTAATTCCCTCATAAACGGATAAATGATCAAATATTTATGTACTTCTTTATTATTATATAACAGACTTAAAATTTGTAAAATTAATTTTTCATTATCAAATAATGTCTTGTCTGAACGGACGTTTTTCACCATATTGTTCAAACTCCGAAACAGTGTGCAATGTAACGTCCTCCTTAATTGCTACGCTACGTTGGCTTTAGTTTAGCGAAGCAACATAACCGCTGTTTCGGAGTTTGCCTATTGTTACGACAATCTTGTTAAAGTACATAGTTGAATAAATCAACCTACTAGAAGTACATTATGTTTGTGTACATATAAAAACGATCCTATTTTACTTTATTAATGTCAACTTTCCAACAATAGTGTCTCAACTATGATTTAAGACTTGACTGTATTTAGTATTAGGAATATGTACTTACACATATTTGATTGTATAAAACAATATTAAGATGGTTTCTACAATTGTCAGTACAATCACCTGATAACATTCGGATATGTTGGTGGTTAGTTGTTGTGGTCTGTTGAAATGTCCACTTTTTTCTGGTTATTCTCTATATCCTTTTTATGTATTTTGATGCTTTGACGGATTTATTTTTTACAGCAGTTATATCTGATGTATATTCATTTTGGTCCTATCTCAGTTGTTATTTTTTCGCTCTTTTAAATGTTTTATATTCGAAATTGTTGTGAAAAAAGCGTTAGAAAGTGTGAAGTGTTTAGTATAAGATATTTGAAAGTTAAGAAGTTACTTTTACGACTGGGTAGATACCTTTGCTGGCGGACCTATTGACCTGAGAGTATTATTAGCCCATTATGAAAATAAAGACATTATTTATGATAAAAGACATTATACTGTGTAAACCAAGGGTTTTCAACGTCCTGATAGTTGTGGAATTCATTAGACAGGTCTACATATATATTTTTGATATGTTCAGTTGTTTCAGATATTCGGTGTTTGCCCAAGGTTTCTAATTTCCAAATATGTCGACCACAAACATCACCGGAAAATTTTTTTGTCCGATTGCACATCAGGTGAATAAAATACAAGCGTTTAATGTTCCTCTTATATTTTTTACATGTTTCAACACATATGTCAAGCTCTTGGTGGCTCCGAAACTAAAAACAGTTATACATAAACTAATCAGCCGCTATTAAGATCTGCCATAAAACACCACATTATCCATATTACAAAAACATGTTGTGTTCTCCAGTTATTTCGTAAAACAAATAACTGCTATGATCTTACTTTTTGAACTGGAAGAAGTCAACTTTACCCTTATCTACATGTAATGAAAAAATACAGGCTTATTGAATGATGGTGTAATATGAACACAGGTCATGTTGTCAAATGCCTCAATAGTTAGGTGAATTAAATCTTTGCATTTCCATGTACATCTTTATTAAACTTCTATCGTAGATATTTTATATTTTGTGACGTAAGTTAAAAAACATCTTTGATCTTACACAATGAACTTGAATCCGAATATCTTTTTCATCTTTGTTTGCTCACTTAAAAGATTTAATTGTTTTCTTTGTTTTCTTTTCTACACCCCCCCCCCCCCCCCCCCCCCCCCTCTTAAAATGTTTGAGCATCTGCTAGTTGGGGAGGTTTAAAACGGTGTATAGGATATGAGAATTATGCAAATAATTACATCAAACCAAAGAATGATTACCATATACAAGTCAATTATATAACTTATTGTACATATTAGATGATACTTTTCGCTGTATATAAATGTCAGGTTTATATTTGTCTTGTCAGAAATGTTATTTGCGCTTCGAAATCGATTCTTTTTAATTTGATCAAAAGTTGTATTATGTCTTACACGTTTCTATGTACGTTCTCTTTCAGAATAACAATTCACTCATTATCTTTTTTCACGTTTTTAAATATTTATAAAAATGAACAACATTACTAACGTGTCAGTCTGATACAATTAACACATTGATTATAATAAATATACCAAGCCGTTTAATTCCTCTATGTATTTGATTGTTCGCTTGTATTGTTTCGTATGTTTGGTTGCAGTAAATATTCTATTCGTTAAATTGAAGTTCAATGAAGAATTGAAGATTTGAAAAATGACGTGACGTGCCCTATAAAATATTAATACGGACCGAAAGACGAACACGGACAGTTTTGCTATTGGTATTGTATTCAGTTTGATTGAAAAAAGCCTTTGGTTCGATGCAACTGTGAATCTTCATCAATATAAAAAGCAGTAATACCACAATGAGAATATTCAGGTGTTGGATTAGGAAATATAACAATAAATAATTTATTGCAAAACTCAAGAGAAGAGAATACACGGACAAAAGGCAGTTGCTGTGTTTTTAATTAATGTTCTTTTAAGTAGTTCGGAAAATTACAAAGTAATTAATTATTCACATCGAAGAAAATATGAATTCTCAATTTGATAGATATCGTGGATGAAATATTGGGTAATACAAATAACATTTTTGGATCATAATATGAATCCTAGGATTATATTTATGTTTGATGCGATGCATCAGAGTTAGTTTCTCCGAAGGGGTAGCATTTCCCAGTGAATTAAGAGTTTTAAGTTTAAACAAAGTAATTTGACGTACATATCGATTCTCTACGTTTGTCATTTTCTTTCTACTGAACTCTTGAAACAGACAGTTATAATCATTTTATACAGATAAAAGTAGAGGACTGTTTATTGCACCTGAGATACCGGTGAGATATACAAACATTTCTTCAATTAGATCTATATACTTATAACGTGAAACAAACATATCAGTTTGACGTGTAATATACAAGCTTTTAATTACATTTTGATCGAGAAAAATCGTTAGTACAACAATCAGTGTGGAAAATTGTCTTATTGAAAACTTTACAAATTAAAAACATTTTATTATTTAATGTTGATTGTAACCTTCGTGTCTATATGAGAAGTTTTAAATACTATGGAAGTGATTTGAAATAGAAGAAATTATTGATCATTTCAAATTTAAACGACTTGCGTCTAAGTCATAATTTATTTATTAATCTCAAGGAGATATATACATGGATGATATATGATCTGCATATAATATTTTCTGTGGTTGTCTGAATGCATGAATGCATGTGAAACATTGATAAATTCTGTAATGGCTATTCCTCTGGATAAAGAAGGTACCAGGAGAAAGGATATCAATTCGACGTCTAAATATCGGTTAGAAGATAGTGAACGAAAGCTACCTAGACCCATTGTCTTTTGGAGTGAAAATGAAAAAGATGCTTTTCGTCGAAATAAAGTTGTTCAAACGCGCTATTATATGCTTCTTGATGACATTGATACTCAGCAAAGGTCATCCGAGAAGAGCATTCGACATGAAGCACATAAATTCCGACAACGGTATAAAGCAGACGTTATATGCTCTAGTGACAATTCGTCATCTGTTGGGTTTTCGGATGTTACGAGTTTGACAGAGAGTGTTCCGAAAAAGATAATAAGAGAAAAATCATTTAGTTCTGATTCGGGAAGTGATAGTGATCATTGGACTGAAATTCCAAAGAAAGGAGTGATAACTAAAATAAGAAAATCTAATGTAAAATTCTCATTTTTGAATGATGTGATACCAGACGATAGTGCAACGGTCATTGATCAAGTCAAAGCATCAACAGATTTAAGTACTCAACGAAAGCTGCGTAGTCAGTCTGCTTCTCAGAGTAGGTCCACGAAAACAAATTTTTCGTCTGGAAGAAGCAAAAGTGCTGTTTTAAAAACTGATATCTACTCTCCTGGAAGATATGATCAGATGTGTTCTAGTAAAACTAAAACAGTTGTGAATCCTAGAGAAAATACAGAAGACATTTTAAAGCATAACAGGCAAACTAAAAAACCGAACGCTATCTTTTTTGATAGGTCACAAGCGGCTTATCAGTTAAGACGAGAATTGCAAAAACTGGCAAAGAACAGAAAAAATGGTGTAGTGAAAGTAGCGTACACAATGGAAGACGCCATTCGAGACGAGAAAGATAAACTTACGGCCAGTAGTAAAAAGGTAGCAGATTATATTCAGAAATTAGAAACCGATAAGCAAAACATGA